CCTGACAGCTGTATATGCTAAGAAGTTTAAATTTTATAGTAAAGGTCAATGGTTTTAAATTCTCTCCCACTTCCTCCTTCCAGATACTCTTATCCAGTTGGTTTGGAGAAGAAAGGTTGGGGATAGATATCAGTCTGCACCTCAGCCAGGCTGTGAACCATTAGTCATTGATTGAGTGTAAGCCTGAATGAGAGTAAGACCCAGATCTGAAAGAGCACACGCTGTAAACTGTGCAGGAGGATTGCTTTTAAAAAGGCCCCTATCCCAGCCATGAGAAACAACCAGCAGCTTAGTTGAGGCAGGAGTGGAGAGAATGGATAGGTAATTGGAAGAGAACATCTGGAAAGCATGTGTATAGTGGCAGCGGTGGGGGTGGGGGGAGGTGGAAGAAAGGAAAGGTGGTCAGCAGCCACAGAGAATCCTGGAAGGTAAAGACTGTTGTTTGGATTGGGTACTTAGTAGGCCATTGCAGCCAAAGAGAGTTATGTTTCAGTGGGATGGTGGAGGCAGATAGCCCTGGGTGAAGACCTTGAACTTACTTTAAGAACCCCTCAAGTTTGTTATGATTAGGGAAGGTAGAAGAATCCCAGGGACCAAGATGGAGTTCCAAGAATGAAAAAGAAAGTGCCAGAAGGTCAGGTTGGGGCTATGTTGGGAGGTGTTGGGGTAGTTGTTGGTAATGGTAAGATCCAACTCTGCTCTTAGACTAATGCTTACCTGACAGTGGAGAAGGTAAGCCTTTTTAGGGTGAGACCAGGTGGAGCCAAGACTCATTAGAAGGCCAATGCCATTTTTTATGACCCTAATGATTTTTAACAGCTATTTTAACAGCAATGATGAAAATGTGTGGTATTCTCTCTCCCTTGGGATAATGTGGCTGTTGAAAGAGGTCACGGCTAATTGGAAAAATGAATTTTATTGCTTAATTGTGGATTCAATTTATTTGTGTACTTCCTGTTACCATTGCCATGTGTTTTCTGAGTTGACTAGTTGACTAGGCCAAGGTTCTCTACAAGAGTATGTATGTTAAAAAAAATGCTATGAAAATCTTCCCCACCCTGAAAATATTTAACATATAAAAAGCCAAAACTACATACATAAGTTTATTTGCTAGTTTAGGTTTTTGTTGTTGTTGTTGTTGTTTGGTTTTGTAGAGAAGAGTTATGGGGAATGCGATGGTTTTGATCACGGTTTCTCACTGTTGGCACAATTGACATTTTGAGTTGGTTGACCCTTTGTCATGCATTGTAGAGTGTTTAGAGCATCCCACTAGATGCTCACGATACACTTATCCCCCAGTTGTGACAACTGAAAATATCTCCTAACATTAGTAAGCGTTTCCTGGGTGGGGAATGGGAGAGGGTAAAATCACCCTAGACTGAGAACTATTGGTTCTCAATATATATATTGTAGTGGTTTTGTCGGAAAATAACTACTTCCTCCTGCTGCAGTATGGATAGTTTTATTGAAACTTGTGGAATCTGGAGAGCTTTTTGTGACCAGAAGAAACCTAATGAATATTTATAAGTGCCCTGGTCAAAAGTTTATTTAAAAGTATTTAAAGAAAAAGGAAATACTTTAAATTTACTGGTTGTCTGACCATCTGACCATTCCTTTGCCCCGTTTACCCATCCTTTCATTTAGTTACTGAATCTACTGTCCTTTAATTTCAATCTGGGTCTTTAAGTTCTTTTTTTTTTTAATGTTTTATTTATTTCTAGGAGAGAGGGAGAGAGAGACAGCGTGAGCAGGGGAGGGTCAGAGAGAGAGGGAGTCACAGACTGAAACAGGCTCCAGACTCTGAGCTGGCAGTCAGCACAGAGCCCGACGCGGGGCTCGAACCCACGAACCGTGAGATCATGACCTAAGCGAAAGTCGGATGCTTAATCGACTAAGCCACCCAGGCGCCCCTGGGTCTTTAAGTTCTTAATGCAAAGGATATTGTGCATTAGAATGTGCCTGAATAATATCACCCATCTAGAACTGGATGTGAAAGGACCTAAATTCTCCACACCTGGTGTAGAGCTTCACGCAAATTTGATCTAATGACTGTGAGATCATGACCTGAGCCAAATCAAGAGTTGGATGCTTAACTGACGGAGCCACTGAAGTGCCTCACAAATGTTTATTATAATTTGACATCATAATTTTATGCCTATTACATATAATACAATAAATTGAGCTTCTATTTTGTCTTAGCCTTTTAAATTGAATTTTTTGAGTAACTCATTTTTCTTATATTTTATGAAGTTATCAGTCCACATTGGATTGGAAGAACAAAAAGAGAAAGCAAACTGTCTTTCACTAGAGGTAGTTTGAGAAGTACCACCTCGAGGTATGATGGAAATATTTTTTTTGCTTCTCTTTCTACCCTGGCCAATAAGAGATATTTAGTATATTCCTCCTGTAGGGCTTCAGTAAAAAAGAGGGGCAAGATACTGCCTGTCTTCCCTATGAGCAGCATGAAGTTGGTGGCAAATGTAATTTATTATAAAGAGAGTAAGAGATAATATGAGGTAAGCATGAGGTTCTCTTTGATTGTATGTATATGTAAGTCTTCATATAGCTCATGTTAGTGTCTTGCATTAAATAACATGTTTATCTTAGAACAGAAATCCAAAGTGCAGTGAAAATGTCCATTTAAAAAGTCTTTTAACCCCAGGAAGTCCTTAGATAAGCAGTCTACTAGAATGTTTGAGGTACTGGGTCTCCATACTCGCTGATGTTGGTGAGGGCAGATATTAAAAAGGAAAAGGTATGTACTATACTTGCTAAAGAGAGTAACACAAATGTTTTGAATCTATTCTGTTGTTCAGACTCATCCAACATTTGGGTAAATCTGTTCCATGGACTCAGCTGTGGTAGACTGACATATGAACAAGGACAGTTAAGCAATGAGCACTTCACAGTTTGACCTTGGTCTTTGTATGTTAAAACTAAGGTGGAGGGGTCAGCCTTCCAACTGACACCAAGTTGAGGGAGAAAGCATTGCTGAGTTCCCTGCATTATGGACTACTTGTTCGAATACCTTTTATCCCATGTTGAGTGGAATAATCCAGAAAGGCCTGACTCACTCTTGGGACCCTTCACACATGACCTGGCATTGTATAGGAACAGTCTCTTGGCTGGCAGTTCCTGTTTGGTCTATATGGTTTTGTAGTGTACTTCCTTCTCCAAAGTAAAAAAGGCAAGATCTTTGCTCGCTCTATTAGCAGCAGAAAATCACCCTTTCTTTCAGTTTTTTTTTTTTTAATCCAGAGGATGAAAATATATAACATATTTGGAAACTCCACTGGCAGACTTGGCAGGCATTTCATATTTACTTGGACTTAACATGAATTGGATTTGGTCCTCTGATTTCCCCGCCTCCATCTCTTGGAACAAGTTATTTATTATCCAAGTGAGTCTGTGTTAGTGGATCAGACATGCACATGGCACATCTATTGTAAGTATGTTTGTTCAGTAAGATTTATGCTAGCCCAAATTGTTTTATATTGGTTTCCATTGTTGAAAATTTACTGTATTCATTCTTGGTTTGGCCTAAGTATTTGTAAGTGTGCTAGGGGTTCCTGTGGTTGAACATTTTATCACTGTAACACTTCATGCAAAGGAAATTAAAAAATATATAGTGAAAGCATTTCCCTAATATGTTTCCAATCAGCTGTGTACTTTAGTAATATGATTTGTAAGAACTAGAGAGAAGAGTATTACTGAGTTCTTTTCGATCATTCATAATTCTCTGAGAATTCAGATGATGGTTCCAAGTTGTGAAAATGTCTTTCGAAATTTTCTTCAGTCCTTTAGTATTCTGTTTGTGTGTGTTAAGAGGGCTTTTATATTGTATTGTGTTGTGTCGTGTCGTGTCGTGTCATATTGTATTGTACTGTATTGTATTACCACAACAGTATCTAAAAGAATTCAGGGAAGGAGGTGTGAGTCTTCCGTGTGTTTCTTGGACAAGAAAAACTGATGTGGATTGAGGTTGATGGACTAGCCAGAAGTCAATTGTTGGTACAGAGAGGCAAGACTTTTTATTCCTTCATTATCCCGTGTGTTCCTGCTTCTGTACTCCTTGGGCTAAGTAACTGGACTGTAATTCATAAAACCCTTTGCCTGGTGGGCTCTTCATAATCTAATATTCAGTGACTAGTGACATAGGCAGTTGCATCTTCCCTGAAAGTGTGACACATGAGGTGGAGGTTGATATTTGGAGAAGCTAAATTAAGATCTAGGCTGTGATCTTTGTGCCATTATTTCTTTGGCTCTTTTTATGAGGACTTAAGCTAACTGGCTTGTTTCCTCTTTTAAGGATCTCTGGCCTTTGACTTGCTTTTGCCAATGAATGAACAGGACTTCTGTTTTGGCTAGTGAATTAATTTGTGACAATCTATACATTTAGAGTTTCAGATGTCCTTAATCTAGTTCACTACTTAAAGTAAGATCAAGGTGAAATGTGAAATCATAGCCCTTAAACTGGGAAGCAAGATACGGGAAGTTTCATCTGGTGAAGACAGTAGCTTGTCAAGAGTCTTAGATAGGTATAGAATTTTACAGTCATTTCCTAAAGTTTAATTTCCTGCCTTTATTTCCTATCATGTTTTAACCTTCCCTCTTGACCTGCAGCAATTTGGTGTTCATTTAAATCTTATGAAAAATCCCCTTTCTCAGTGATGATTTTAGCCCCGATGCTCCTCCTCCATCCGCAGGCATAAAGTCACGGGGGTCATGCATTTTGCCCAAGAGAATACATCAATCCACGCTTTTCCCGTTGAAAACATAGTCTTGGTTAATCCTCTCAGTGGTCGAAGAATTAATGTAAGTGAAAACCAAGTGGATATTTAGAAGGCTTAGTTGTGTTTTGGAGAAAATAGCCAAGGAACATGATGGTTCCTGCTGTTGCTAGTCCTGGCCTAGAAAGCATAACTTCTTTTGCTCCAAAGAAAAAGGAAACACACACTCATTCTTGGTCTTTCTTTCCTGCTTCTGTGTTTCATGTCTAGGTTGCACCTATGAAGGAAGTACCTATAACAGCTCCTTCAGGTGGCAGAGTCCTGCACAACCCTGTGTTCTACGTCAGTGCCAGGTAAAGTCTATTTTACTCTCCACTGAAAAGGAATTTGTGAAGTCTTCCTCAGAAGCACCTTTTAGACAGCACAGAAGGAAAAAGAAAAGTAAGACGAACATGAGAAATAAAAAAAACAACTATATCCTTATACATGTTTATTGTGTCATTCACCATAACAAGACAGGCACAGAATAGATATTATATCGCACTTGCTTCCAGAAACATGCAGTGGGATTGTTCACCATTGTTAAATTGTGCCTGGAAAATCTCCAGAAAGATGTATATGTCCTTGGGGAAAATTCATGTCTTCCTGTGAGTCAACTTTGCGCAAAACACAAATTCATGTTAGCAGAAAGAGGTATTGTTAGAGGATATGTGTTTTCCTTCTTTGATTTAGAAACATTTTGAACAGGAGCCAATCTGTAAGCTTATTAAATCAAAGCAATTAGTACACGGTAACCTCAATGATTTCAACATGACAAATTTGAGAACCACCAGTTCAATTCCTAAGAAGCCCACTGTGGCCAGTGCTGGCTGCTCTCTGCAAAGGGCGCTGATTCTACATGACTCTAGTTGTTATAGGTCTTTGACACAGCAAGATAAACTAAAGGAGAAATGAAGAATTGAAACATTCAGACTCCTTTTCTTATCTCTAAGGAAATAGTTAAAAAAAATGCTCATCTAATTTTGAAATAATTTAAAAATTCTCTACAGAGAAGTTGCTTTTAAATCATTTTACCCCTCGCTTCCTTTTACTGTCCCAGGATGATGCTCTTGCATTTAAAGGGGAAGAAAGAAAGGTTAGTGTAATAATGCATATTTCAGTTGGGTCTTATCTCATGTATATTGACACTTAGTTTATTGAAATCTGACTTTTATGTAGCCATGCTGTTATATACTCACAGTGGGTACACTCACTCCTAAGATCATCGGTTGTTTATTTGGCTAAATGTTCATATTGTTTGTGTGGTAAATCTAATTTGTGAAAATGAGGAGTAGACAGAACAGATGTAAATAACAGATTAGTTGAATCAATACATACTTGTTGAATTTTTGCTCTGGGAGTTATAAATTCATGCGTCAGGGAACAAAGAGATGAGAGCAGTGAGTTGTAATAATATAAAAAGTCCACCTTCATTCTAAAATTTGTACCACCCCACCCCACCCTGCTTCTTGACCAATGAAATTTCTACTCTTTCAGAAGGGCACTCTGAAAGCCTTGCTTGAACTGTCTTTTAAATACGACAACCCCCTGCCTTTTGGAGTAAAGTGTAACATTTTTATGCAACAGCCAGAGGTCTTGAAGATCCTCCAATTGCATGGAACAGTGGTGACGTTTGCTACTTTTGGATGAAGACTTTGTTTGAATTAAATGAAAACCATTATGTGGGAGGAAATAGTTTGTTGACCGTGTAACACAGGAAGCCATTCTCAGTTGTGGACACTGAAACTCCTAGTGCCTATCGTCTTCGGTCACCAGCCACTCATCAGGCCCAGAGAGAATGATGCAGGAATATCCCATTGTTATTGGGAGAGATCTCAAGGACTAATAACTCTGGGAGTCAGGAAGTGCTGAACTGCAGAATAGAGCCCAGAAAGGGGATGTTACCTTCCAAAGATGAACTTTTGCCTTTTCATTCTCCTTCTTTTTAAAAATAATTTTTTTAAATATTTATTTTTGAGAGAGAAAGAGAGAAAGGGAAAGAGAGACAGAGCGTGAGTAGGAGGGTCAGAGAGAAAGGGAGACACAGAACCCAAAGCAGGCTCCAGGCTCTGAGCTGTCAGCACAGAGCCCAATGCGGGGCTCAAACCCACGAACTGAGAGATCATAACCTGAGCTGAAGTCAGACGCTTAACCGACTGAGCCACCCAAGCACTACATTCTCCTCCTTTTTAAAAACTTTGCCTGAGCGCTGCTTGCCAGTTTAAAAATGTCGTTTCATTCAGTATTCCTAAAAGCAACCCTCTAAGGTAGTTGTAAAAGCTCAGCTGGCACCTCCCTACTCCTGCTTATTTTCTTCCTCTGTTAGGGAATGAAACCTTATCTGTGGATGTGAGAAAAAGCCACTTACTGGTACTGGTCAGGAGAGGCTTCACTTAAGATATTTCTCTGCAGAATGAGACAATTGCAAACTCTCTAAGCTCTTCCCTTCCCCGGGGAACAAGATCAGTAACAGGAATGAGTGCAGTGTAGCACGTAAAAAAATATGGGCTCTACCTTTCACATAACTTGTTTCTTCACCTCTCTGAACCTCGCACTCTCATCTCCTGTGAAGCAAGGATGGTACATCTCATAGGGTAACGTAAGCAGTAAGTGAGGCTATCGTTAAAGACACTTATGGTAGAGGCTGCATGGACTGGGCGCAACAGGTACATATACCAGGCAGGTATCAGGTAGTCTTACTACCTGGTTTATTTCCATTTGAGCTGAATTCTAGCTTCTTTCATCCTCCTACTAAAAGAGTTCCAATGGTGAAAAGTTTACCTTTATTTTCCACTTTTACTTTCTTCCTAAAGAGAAAAATCTGAAGATCACAGACAGGAAATTCATGCTGGGAACAAATCTGAATCCTCCATCTGGATTGCAGATACTGAAGGGAAATTGATCTTGGGCCATAGCTTTTTGTATTGCTTCAGTTATATAACTGAAGCACAGATCCTTTTTTGATGTGGTATATTGTGATATTTTGACCGTTGTTCTTTTCTTTCCCAAACGTGATATAGACCACAATAAATTCCTCTGGTAGTGGAATCCTCAGACCTGACAGATACGAAGACATTTAGGATATAACTTTCCTTGTTGGATTGAGATAATATGGTAGCAGACACGATGAAAAAAGTTATCCAGTTGTCAAATTGTTACATTTTTTTTTAGTATGTGCCACCCCTCCCTGCAAAACAAAATCAAACACACACACACAAATCCATTTATAAAATGGGTAGAGAATATGGAGAAAATTCTTCAAAGACCAACTCTGAAAATTAATTTTAAAAAGGTGTCAGTTGACATTAAAATACTAGAATCTCAAGATCTGTTTGCAAATGAGTCACTTGGTTTCATTATTAAGATCTAAAGGCTCTATTTTTCCATATATAGTATGAACTTTAAAGTAGTTTTATCTTGGGGCACCTGCATGGCTCAATCAGTTAAGCGTCTGACTTCAGCTCAGGTTATGATCTTGTGGTTTGTGAGTTTGAGCCCTGTGTCAGGCTGTGGGCTGACAGCTCAGAGCCTGGAGCCTGCTTTGGACTCTGTGTCTCCCTCTCTCTCTGTCCCTTCCCCCACCCCAAACTAAATAAAGATTAATTTTTTTTTTTTTTAAAAAGTAGTTTTATCTAATCTCATCATTTGGGTTTTGAGAGCCAGGCTCTCTATGTGAGGCAGAGTGAAACTTCTAAGATGGCAGAACTGGTCTAGTTATTTCTAGAAGCGTGGTAAGAAATTATGTTTCCAGATGCCAGGCTGGAGTATTATGCTCATACTCTGTGCCTTATAATTAATGGCTTAAAGTTTAATAACAATTATAGAAAATAGAGGAAGTGTTGACAACTTAAAACAATTGTGGATGAACAGCTAGACTCTGTCAACTGCTGACTGACAGTAAGAAGGTCTTAAATACTAGATTTAAAAGAAAGAAATTTGAGCCAAAAAGAAAGACTGAGGACAGGGTCAAGACAGGATTTGTGCCCTGACTTCAAAAGCATGAGGGGTGTGAGCTGGGGAGATGTGACCTCATCAGAGTCATGTCCTCTGGACTTGCCACCCACCCTCTTTTGCACTTTTGTGCTTGGACTCTTCCCTTACTACCTTGATTACTTTCCCAAAGTGAATCACTCCTCAATGGGAATTCTGAGCTGACATGTGTGTGGCGTTCTGTTTTTCAGGAAGGTGTTATCACAGAGTCTGAGGTGCGATGTGTTGTTCATTGTAAAAACCCTTCCAAGCATCTGGGAACGTGCTGCCCCACATGTCCAGGTAACATTCTCAGGAAGGGAAGGCTGCTAGGCTCCCTGGTAGAGCACATCACTGTGAAATCTCTGTGAGCTCTCTCAAGAGGGCAGGATTCTCCCCCTCCTGACTGGAACTTTTCTCACTTTGTGTCTGTGTACATAATGGGTTGAGAGAGCAAACTCCCTTGCACAGAAATGTCCGGTTGGCCTCTCTGGTGTGCCCAGCATGAATGCAATGTGCGGTAGGTCTTGGCACGTGGATGCTCCAGGCTCCGGAGGCCTGCTTTCCACTCCACAGGGCCACAGGTAACGCTTACTTTGGAAGGAAAGGCTGTGGCTTTCTCTTGCTTCCAGAAATGTCTTTTTACTGCTTCATATTGCAGTATCTTGGCTAGAGCTTGCCTTGGTGATGAGGTGACCAGATGTTTTCTGAAAACTGAGAGCTGTGTCCCTATGTGAATTTAGCTTAGGGCTTTGCTGGTCTCAGTTTTCAGTGTGGTGCAACAAGTTGGGCCCGCTGTCTTTTTAGAGGGCCCCACTGCCTAGCTGACAGCAAACGGATCTTTCCCTTCCAGTGGCTAGAGTGCTTCCTTTTACTTTTCTGAACAGAATTACAAAGGCCTCCTGCATCTTTTCTTGCCCTTAGGTACAGGCTCGGGGATTTTGAGGTGAGAGATTTTTTTTCTGATCCTTTAAGCCCCTGGCCCATGCTCTCAGACAGATGTTCTGAGTTTTGGTTTTACTCTCAGTGCTTTTCCTCACTGGAGGGGATACTCACAACTGGTACCCAATTTCCAATGGGCCTTCTGTTCTGCAAACCTTCCAGGGGAAGGCTCAGGTACCATGCTAAGACGCTCTGCAAACATGAGCCCTGCTCCCCCTCCCCCACCCAGTACAGTTTGAGATGTGCCTGGACCCGAGTCCCTATCAGAGAGTCCGGTTTTTTCTCATCTTTGAATGACAGTAAAGACAGCTGCTCTCTACTACCTCTAACCTTCCTGAGTTGCCTGGACAGTCTTTATAGAGCCAGATTTCCTTTTCACATTGGGATTTCTGTGAAGCTCGTATTCTTGGATGAGCTTACAAGAAGGCCTAACACAAGAAGATTTCTTTCCACAATCCAATTATTTTATATCTTTGTTTGCTTGCATTCCTTTTGCCTCTGAATGCATTACATGCTTTGTATTATGTAACCATACACTTACATGCCTAAAGGGGCCTTATTAAGTTAGATCAGTAGTTCTCTAGGCTGTACATTCACATCACCTGGGAAGCTTTAAAAGATAAATCTTGATGCCCTGGCTCCATTTCAGACCAACTCCATCAGCCTCTCTGAGGCAAATCCAGGCCTCCCAGATAATTCCTGTACACTGGCAAGCTTGAGATTGATAACAGAGCAAATTTTATATGCCATGTAGATTTAAAGTTTATTGTAGCTCTTAAATATGAATTCAACTGTGTTGAAGAGACTGCTGCTTTATTGGTACAGAATCAATTCAGTGTATGTAACATTCCTCCTCACTTACGAGATCGTCGTGTGTTTTAGGCTGCCTTTGAATGTGTGGGTATACAAAGAGCTGAGTGAATTCATTTCAGCAGTTGAAGTTATCATATTTGAGCAACTGCTTCTTTCACTTGGCTTTTGGTTGAGTTCCTGGGAAGAAAGGCCTGAACCCCCTGACTGCATATACTGCAGTGCTAAGTCCCCCTGACCACCCAGTGAGGGATGAGTTACTGTCCGCAGTTCACACAGGAAGAAATTAGACCCAGGGAGAATAAGGACCTTTCCAAGGCCTGTGAGTTGGAGTTGGGGTCTGGCCCCTTTTGTTTCTTGGCTACCATACTGCGCTACCTACTTCTCCCCTCACCCCAAACACACACCATTATAATTGTTCTGCTTGGGTCTGGATGCTCTAGGAGATAAATCTTTAAAAGCTAGTGTGCCAGTGCCACACAGTGGCCCCCTGACACCTGGGCAGGCTCTGTGCCTTCGCTTATGAAGGGTCAAGAATCGACTCTGCTCTGTCTCTTTAATTTCAAAGGCCAAGCTTTGGGATGTAAATCAGAAGACTGAGAAGAGTCCACATCCAAAATGTATTATCATTTGTCTCGGGAGGGAGGACTCAGCCAAGTCTAGGTAGGGATAGTCAAGGGAGGCCATGGGGTATTCTCCTTGGTAATTCAGAAGGACTGGCATCTGTCATTAATCATAGAGGTATTCTGCATAATGACAAACATGTACAGTCTGCGGTCAGTTTCTTCCTGAAGCAGATTTCAGGACATTCTTGTTGTTGGTTCTTTCCTTTTGTCTGACTCTTGACCCAGCGACGATGGTTCGTGATGGGAACAGTTTACATAGAATTTTCACTTAAAATTCCTTTATTTAAGTTGTCAAATGTAGATGGTTGTGGTTAATCTGTCTGGCAATCTGTATGACACAGCCAGTGGGCAAACATATGAAAGAATTGGAGACCCTTCGTTGGAAGTGTGCTTTGAAAAGAGACAACTGGGCACCTGCCGTTATTAACAATGCTGAGATACAACCTCTGGAGGGACCCAAGTTTACCAAGTCTTTCTGCATCAGTGAGAACAGTGAAGAGGTGGTTGAATGCTAGCTCTGCGTGTGGGTATCAAATCGACATCAGACTCCATAGCATTTGTTTTCATGTCTTTCAGTTGAACAAAGCCTCCATATCTAGACTTAAGATGAATAGGTCCAGCAGCCAGATTAGGTGGTTATGGGTAGTGCTTGTTTCTTCTTATCAAGAACCAACTGCTTCAAGAGTTTGGTGGGTTCTGTTCTTCGGTTGGCAGGCCTTACATACTCTCAGGGGCATGAGTCAGTCTCTCACAAGAGCCCCCTTTGCTGATTTTTGGCACTACTGTGTTGGCTCCAACCCTGTCTACCATGTGGAAAGTGACCTCAGCTATTCTGACAAAGCACCTCGTGAAGATAGTCCTGAGGAAAGTGGCTTTGCCATAAGCTGACAGTTTTTTCGTGGCCTGTTTGGCACAGGGGTTCCTGGCCAGGCTGTGTTTCAAGTCATTTGTGGGATACCTTAAGAATATAGCAGTGTCCTGAGGCTCATTCTGAATTGGAGACACCTCCTGGGCTTTTCATCCTATTTTGAGCCAAACTTAGTGGTTAAGCCTTTTCAAGATCACATACAGTAGGTCTGAAAACCTGTGTGGCATCTCCTGCCCTGCCTTTCCCCTTCCTGCTTTGGCGCCAAACCTGTGTATGGTGCAACTGGTAGGTCGCAGCTGAGTTTGAATCCCAGCTCTGCCACCTGCTGACTGGTTGAATTACTTCCTCTTGCTGAGCCGTATTTCCCTTATTCGTGGAGATAATGACAGGTGTCCCCACTTTGGAGGGTCACTGTGAAGATGGAGTGAGATCAGGGGCACAAAGAGTCTGGCAGAGACTGGGTGTTCCCTGGATACTCACCAAGTGGTCATGTCATTCATGTCACTTGCTGGGTATAGCTCATTGTGCACGTCTCTCATTTGGCCTTTTCCTGTTTGCCTCTTCCGGCCCTCCGGGGTTTCGTTCCCCTGGCTGTGGTCAGGGTGGTCATGGTGGGCTCCTTAGACTTGTAGGGCTCACCACTGCCCAGTGTTCCCCCTTGGGCTGACCTGGCTTCCATCATGTTATTTGCTTTCTAGCATCTTCAGGTATCTGGACTTTTGTCAGTCTTTTGTATTTTCTTCCTCCTCTTCTTTTTTTTTTAAAGCTATGAAATGATCTTGTTCCCTGGTTAAAGAGGATAGATACTTTGCCAGGTGGAGGTGGAGGTAGACAGATGAGGGAAATGGATGAGCAGTAGATGGAAGCATAGTGTCAAGCTGAGCAAAGGCTCCTGCCCTAATTGTAAACTTCTCTTTGCTTTCTAGGTTGTGTGTTTGAAGGTGTGCAGTACCGAGAAGGAGAGGAATTTCGGCCAGAAGGAAACAAATGCACCATGTGTTCCTGTGTTGTAAGTACTACCCTGGATGTTCTAAGGGTGTTCCTTCTGGATCACTGTGACTGGGATCCACCAAGAACAGCCCTGAGTTTCTTTCCAGTCTTTCAGCCTCTCCCTCCAGATGAGGAGCCAAGGAAAAAGTCTGCTGCTCTAGGGCAGATTTCTCAATCTTGGCACTATGGCAATTCTGGGCTGGGTAATTCTTTGTGGTGCGGGGTGTCCGTATATCATAGGCTGTTTAGCATTATCCCTGGCCACAATGCATTAGGTGCCAGTAGCACTTATACCCCTCGGTTATGATAACCAAAAATGTCTGCAGATGTTGTCACATGTCTCCGGGAGAGCAAGATCATACCTGGTCGAGAATCACTGGTTTACGGATTGAGGGAGGGAGGCTGGTTTCATTCTACCTGCCTTCTTCTTTGAGAAGATTTTGATTCTCTCTTCTTTGGGGCAGAGAAGCTTCTGGCCGAGGCAGCTGTTGAGTTATTCATTGTAGTCAAATGGGAAGCATATGGGGATAATTACAGCTTGCTTCAGTGTAGTCTGTGGGGTGAGAGAACCTGATCATTTCATCCGGTCATTTTCACAGGGCGGGGTGGGGGATGGACAGGAGGAAATGGCCACTAACCTGTGGATTCAGGGCAGAGTAGGAATTAGTGAGACAAAGCCATAGACTTGCCTTTCTAAGAATTGTTGACTTGTGATTCATATACTGAGGATAGCTTCAGAGTGCTTAGGAATGAAATAAGGAACTTGGTGTATGCTATAATTTTAAAGGGATCTTTTTAATTAACGTATTTTAGATTTGGAGTAAGATCATTGGTGGTGATGGTGATGAAGGGGAGTCTAGTCTTATTCAGTGCGCCAGGTTATTTACAGCAGGGAGTTAGCACAACCATCTGTTTTTAAAACTTTTAATCTTTTGTAATGAAGAACATATAGTATGCATATCAGAATATCAAAAAACATACATAGACAACTTTAGTGTCCTAATTTCACCAAACTAGAATCAAATGTGGACCATCATAAATCATAGCATTAGCACTCACCATTTCTCTACATGTCTTTTCTAAAATCTTTCCCTCTTCCTACATCACACATGCACACACAACCTAGAGAACCTACATTAAGATAAACATGACCAAGAGTGATGGTTTTTGTATGAGGAGAAAGAAGGAAAGAAAGGAAGGGAGGCAGAGAGAAGAGCTATATAAAAAGTATGTAATATGAGGTATATAATACCCATAATACTAAAATAACATAACATAAAACACAGAAACACAAAAGTAATTTTCTGATAAACAGAAGTTTGCATATTCAGACTCAACTGCCATGTTTTTCTCTTCTTGCTAATTATGGTTAAATAGCTTTATGTTATTTTTATGTAAATAAGTCATTAACTGCTACCCACTTCTTAATTTTATTTCTTCCATGTTGGTAAAGTTTTCTGATAATTTTTTTTAACTTGGTCTCATTCTTTTGGGTAAATTGAAGAAAAACAAAGCACATTTCAGTGGGAAATTTTAAATCTGCATCTGCATAAATTGTCTTTTCCATAAAGGTGGGCCAAGGTTAGGCAGCTAAGACTCCTTGGGGAGAAAGCTCAGCAGGTGGCAGGAGGATGGAAGGTTCCTGCAGTTTTATCAGTGACAATTACACAAAGTTATCCAATGTTGGGAACTGGGAATGAGTTTAGAAATTATATGTACAGGGTCACAAACTCAAATGTGCTCAAGGCATTCAGATTTTACGTGTTTGTAAACACAAAGCATGCTAAACAAAAATACCTGAGGGCCAAGTTCAGGCCCCTGGAAGTCCTGCTTCCATTTTCAATTGAAGAAATAAAATACAAAGATGTTACTTGCCCAAACTTTCCTGCTAGTGAATTTTCTCCAGATGTGTATTCTGTATCTTTTCTATATTCCTGTATCTTAATTTCCTAATTTCCTAATCCTGTATTCTTTCTAGTTCTCTGTGTTGCCACCCTTCACACATAAGGGGCAGTGAATGGCTTTTTCTTATGTTCCTAATGTCAGTTATTAAGCTAATAAGGTAAGTAGAAGAGAGGAGGGAGTTTTTGCTTGGGGACTGGATGTTTGTATGTAGGATTGGATATGAAGAGGACCCCGAGAGCAGTTTTTTCTTTTTGTAAATACAAAAATTTGAGGTGTAAGCCCTGTCTTTTTGTAGCTTGTTATTAAAATAACCTCATTTTTAATATTCTTTCACTTTGCTGCCTTTTGATGTAATACCCTAAAAGAAAAAAATAATGTCATGACAGCAAATGGTTCTGTTCTGAGAGTGATAACTACAGAGGTTTTCTTTAGAAGTAATATTGCAAATGTACAGACTGGCCTGGGGATATGTATGTAGTACCTGTGTGCATATATATTTGTATGTGTATATGTCTATATCTAAGGTAGATATATCCACATAACTATACAAATCTATATAAACATGCCTATAAACATAAATGCAAACACACACATTTACATGTCCAAGTTTGGATTCCCCCAGAAACAGGGCCCGAGACAAGGATTCGCATGTAAGTCATTTCCTTAGAGAGGACACTGGCAGAGGAGTGTGGTGATTTCCCCAGTGTGGGGGAAGAAGCCCAGTGACGGGATGTCAGTGAGTGAGTATCCTTGTACCTGACCAGAGTGCACTCCTGCTGGGCAAATTTTGGAAGCCAATGTGAGATTCATGCATCAGAATTTCCTGCTGAGAGGTGAAGGACACGAGATATGTTTACAGCAACCCCCTATAGCCCCAGGCGGGGTATTGATTGGGTACCAGTATGAGCCTGCAGCTCAGGTGAACAAAGTGGCCTCCAGCAGTGAGAAGAAGAAGCACAGGTGCTAGCCATTGGAAGTCTGGCACTCACATTCACGTGGTAAGGGTGAGAAGATGGGGGTGGGGCAGCACCACAGTCACCTATGGCATATTTGTGCATGTATGTGGTACATATACACACATGAACTATACATTAATATTTATATATTTCTTAATATGTATGTATATATGTGCATACACATGCACATACCCATATGTACATATTCATATATATGTCTTTAGAACACTGGGCCACCAGTGTTTTCCTTTGCTCATGCTGCTGTCTGGTCTGGTACTCCTTTTCCTTCTTCACCTGGTGAGTGCTTGAGCTTTTGAAGTCAGTTATCATCACCCCACTGCAACTAACTCACCGACTACTTCATTCCCCAGATAATAGCAGCAACAGTTTTCTCATTGGTGTTTCTGAGGCCCACGGCCCCCACTGGCTAGCTCTCCTGCCTTCTTTCCCTTCCTCCTTCTCTTACATGCACGCGCACGCGCACGCACGTGCACACACACACACACACACACACGCTTCCAGGTAGCAGGTTGTAGCTTATGCATGTCTTTCTAACCTCGTTACTGAGTACAGTAAGTGTGCAGTTTTATTAGCGTTCTTCTTTTCCATTGCTGTCTTGTGGCTTAGTACCGTAAAATCCAGTAATCACTTCTCTTCCAGTGACGGTTCTGCCCTTCAGAGCTGGCCAGCGCCTTCTTGCCTAGGAGTATAGTTATTGTAGGCAGATACCCCATTCTCATTAGGTTTCTGTTTACCTGGGCGCACACCCTATGGAGCCATGCACATGTAAAGCATCCCTAGTGTATATTACCTGTCTCTGATGGACGACTGGCCAACTCTCCAAGGTGTTCCTTACTCTCAAGGAAATATTGCATGTGCCATGTGGCTTCTATTTTACATTTGACCCTTTTAGTTACACTCTCCGAATTTGTGAAAATTGGTCTACCCATGTTTTTGTGATGTGGTGACAGGGGCAGACCACCAGAAAGACATTTCATCTTACTGAGATGGATTCCTTAGATAATGAAACAAATGCCTTGCACATGATTTTACATCTTTGATTTAGGTCAGGACAGTATATATGGCATTCCAGACGGTTGAGAGCATGCTAATGTTTGAAGATATCTGGAGAGTATTTCACAACCTCTTGCTCTTACTCATTCCAGAAGCAGAGCATCTAGCATTTTTAGGTGTTAATATCATCGTGACTCACATAGAAAAATGCACTGCTTTACTATCCCTTGTTAAACTATATACCCCCCATGCACCCAGTACATAAATAAGAGAGCCAAGAGAATTACTTCCCCAGAGTCCCAGTACTAATCAGGGGGGTGAAAACCGGGGTTCCTCTGGCTGCTCCATAGCGCCGTCTGAGTCGTACTGGAGTGCATTCCCTATGGTACGTGTTCAGTGTGAAGAAGTCCTACACTTCTTTTAAAATGGAAAGGAGAGTGGGTGCCTAGGTGGCTCAGTCAGTTGAGTGTCCTACTTCGGCTCAGGTCATGATCTCACAGTTCATGGGTTCAAGCCCCGTGTCGGGCTTTGTGCTGACAGCTAGTTCAGAGCCTGGAGGCTGCTTCAGATTCTGTGTCTCCCTCTCTCTCTGACCCTCCTGGCTCATGCTGTCTCTATCTCTCTCTCAAAAAAAGAAAAAAAAAAAAAGATAAATAAAATGGAAAGAGGAGGACTCTTTCCTAACACAGAAGCAAAGAATTGTTTATAAAGTATACCAAGCATTGGTTAAAACACACATCTGTTTCTTTTTTTGTTCAAGCTTGAGTTTTTTACTACCTGCCTAACTGGATAGCACACAGTTCCGTTTGCCTTTGTTCGGTCACATTTTCAGGGAACAGGGTGGTGGCAGTTGGCACAGACATTTGTGTAAAATCCGATGTCTTCAGACTTGTAAGACTAAAGACCAAGGTGCCAATGAGAGATGTTTGTGTTCTCTTTTAGCAAACTATTTTAAGAACCCTATGGGCTCAGCGTTCTTGGAAATTCCTTACCGAAGAGAGTAAAGCCCACAGAGTTGTAGGATACTCTTAAAAGAGTGGCAAGTCCTCAGTCTGCAAAACCAGCCAAATTAACTAGCCAAGATCAATTACTTTTGCTGACAAAGGCGTATTAAGTTCAGAGGATTTTTACTAATAAACATGGG